CAGAGGCTCCGCCGAACCCCTGAGACCGACTCATCGAACCCCTGGGGTTCGATCGAACCCAGGTTAAGAACCACTGCTATAAGGGCTTTGCAGACAGGAACCCTTCAGGCAACCACTGAGCAGACAACTGCTGAAATTGCATCAAGCTCCAAAATGGCCGAAGGGGGTTTTTTTTTTTTTTTAAGTACTACCTTATTAGACTAGAAATGTGCATTAAATGGAATTGGAATTTGGAGTGATAAAGTCTAGGGTTTTACTAACATTGTTGCAAATTAAATCATGTTTCTTGAGGGTGTCTAGAAAAGCTGACCGGTGCTTTTCTGATCACAGTCAAGTTATGATTTTTGGCAGAGAAAGGTGGAGTTGTGGATGCTGTCAAAATGTGGGAAGTAAAGCAGCAGCTTTACTCAGCTGGATCATGTAAACATGCTGGAAAAATAAATTACTTTAAATCTTACCCCTCTGGGTTTCTGTCATGTAATGTTTCACCCATAATTGATTTATAAATCCTCAACATGTAGTTGATATTCCCCAACACCTCACTCCTCTGGCTGAATGGTGCAAAATTAACCAGAAAACAATAAAGTTAATGAAAAAAAAAGCCTTTCTGGACTAAAAGTTATTGTTTATTTCCTTGACATTTTTGTTTTGCCATTGTGTTTGTTCATTTGTTCTCCTTGTTTGTGGTTTGGATTTGTTTTCTAGATCAGTGTTTCTATCTATTTGGTGTTTATATTAGGTTCTTTCCACCATTTTTCATTCTCTTTCTTTATCATTCACATTCCCTCTATCAGCTTTCATCCCTTCCCAGCTCCTCTGGTTTTTCTGTCATTTCACCAAGCCTTCCTCCTAATGTGTAGCTTCTTCTCTTGGTTGGTCTTTGCTGGATCCTTCCTTTATCTTATCTCTACTCTTATCTCCCACTCCCTTGTTTATTAGCACTGTTTTGTTCAACATACGTTCTTTACTCACGTTTCCAAGTAATAACCTTGTAACACTGTCATTATAAAGAACTGCTTTGCCCTTTAGTCTTTTCACTTGCTTCTTCCTCAAAGTCAAACACATAAGGAGCAAAAAGCCCTACACACATTGCAGATTTTTATGTTATGCCGCTAGGTATCTGATTTTCACTCTTTTAAAGGGACAGTATTTTGTAAAGTTTACTCTTTTGAGCTTCACGTCATGTTATAATGTTATTCCCTCGTCATAAATATACCAAGGCAATCATTATGCTGTGTAAAACACCTGGTTGGATCCGGTCTTCATACAACAAAATAAATAAATACATAGACTATTAGTTTTGTGTCATCATTGTTTACACCTGTAAATTACAATCTCTGTTGTGACTGCTAAACACAAAATGTTTAGGTAGAGAAAATACTAGAGGCGTACCGATTGCAGTTTTCCGATTACGATTTTGGCCAATACTGCTTTTTTTTGTCTGAAATGTTGCTAAACATAGCAAGAAAGTTGCTGAGATGCCAACAGTGGGGTGACTATTGTTAACTCTAAACGTGCAGACATGACCTGGTGGGCGGGTTTATCAGTCAAACTTCAAGGCTGAAAAGTAGAGGACAGTGGTTGATTTTTAGACCTTTCTGGAGGTAGATTAGATCGGTTTCAGATGTAAGTATTGGCTCCTAAATTTAAAGAAATCTGGGGCTATTTATCGGTGCACTCCTAGAAAATATTGTGGTTAAATAAACTTTTGAAATGTCCTTCTTTTGCATGTGGGTTTTCTGTAAGTTTATCCAACAGTTCCCCCAAAGTACTAGTGTAGAGGAGTGAAAACAAGGTGTAATACGTAATGAAAACTTTAAGTATAAAAACAGGCACCTCAACATTATTTTTTTTCTTTTTCTATCCTTAATTGATTTCTCCTTTTCTTTATTGTTATTTCAGTTATTCGGTGAGATTCCACATACAACCGCCAGGGTGCGCCTGTCGCATTGATAGCATAGAGAAAGTTGGACGCACAGAAGAAGAATAAACCTGCTAAAGAAGGCTCAACACTCCTGACCCTTTGAAGCTGCGTCACTTTTAGTCATTCGAGGCGTTAAGACGGACATTGGAAGTGAGGGAATATTGAACAGAGCAACTGACTTTGTTGTCCAAAGTTGTTTTTGCCACTTTATTCATGGCTTCTACTTGTTTGAGTCGAGCTAATTTGTCTGTGAACTCTTATAAAAGTTTCAAATAGCTAGCTTAGAAACCGACCCATACTTCCTCCGTCCTGAATTGTTTATCAGATTCCCGACTTAGCTTGAATTCACACCACATGATTTATATCACTATGCCATAAACAGAGTTTCCTCTCACACTGGAGTATGATTAAAACATACAAAAGACGAAATGCTAACCAGTTTTTTTTCCATACATGCTAGGCCACATGACAGTGCACCATCGTCTCCTTATGTGTTACTAATGGTTACATGCCTTCCTACTCATAATACAATATATACCTTCTAATCATGCTTATAACGTATATGAACGTTAGTCTTCTTACCTTGTTCGTTGAAAATCCGCAATTACACCGGGGCTGGCGATCATTATGATTGACAGCTGCCAGGCGTTATGATTGACGGCCGCTATCCATCGCCGCCGTATCTTTCCTCAATAAAAGTTATCTGTGCAGCTGACCACGCAGCACCTTATCACGTTTTTTTTAAAAAGTGAATTCAACTAAATAGAAGCGATATTAGGTTACAGACGTCTGTTTTTAGACTAACTTTAAAGGAGCGCATTGGTTGTTTTGACGTCCATCATGGCGGAGAGGGCAAAGTTCTGGAAAGCCTATCCAAGGTTGTCTGGCAACACTGGGATAATTGCTAATGTTAGATTGCCATTAGGTCTAAGTACCTGCATGGTTGAATAGCTTTTTGTGTCTCTGGCAATTGTGTGATGGACTGGTGGCCTATTCACACCATAACCCAAGCCTCATTTGCTGATCGCTGAACGCAACGTGATTTATTTTAAGATTTTCTGTTGTTGATGATTTCAGGGTCACCCTTTCTCAAATAAAAGATGGGACACATGTGCTGTCATCGGGAATGGTGGGATTGTGGCAAACAGCAGCTGTGGAAAAATGATCAATTCAGCTGATTTTGTCATTAGGTGAGAAAAATGTTGAAGAAAAATATGTCATATCTGAGAACTGCCATGTCTGAATTCATGTTTGTTTTTCAGGTGTAACCTGCCTCCTTTGTCAAACGGATATGAGAAAGATGTTGGAACCAAGACAAACCTTGTAACAGCAAACCCAACCATTCTCTTAAGAAAGTGAGTAGATAAGTCACAAAGGTTATTTTGTAATCTTAAAAACATCACTGATTGTTTTTTTTTTTCACATTATATTTATATTTGTAGGTTTGAGTCTCTAGTGGGACGTCGACGTCCTCTAATGAAAACGCTGAGTAGCTATGGGAACTCGATGCTGCTCCTCCCTGCCTTCTCCTTTGGTATGAATACAGCTGTTTGCATGCGAACTCTTTACACCATTCAGGACTTTGACTCTGCCATCCAACCTGTCTTCATCAATCCGGAATACCTCATTAAACTCTCTACATTTTGGCACGCACATGGGCTGAAAGAAGCACGGCTCAGCACCGGAGTCATGATGACAAGCCTGGCATTGGAGCTTTGTGATAACGTGCATCTTTATGGATTTTGGCCATTTGGTATTCATCCATTCAACTTCAAAAACTTGACTAACCACTATTATGATGACATGAAACCAAATACCAATTTTCACTCCATGCCGGTTGAGTTCGGCATACTCCTACAGTTACACAAAAATGGTGTGCTACGCCTACACCTTGGGGACTGTCAATAACATCATTACCAGTTACATAAAAGAGAACAAGTTCTTCTTTTGTAATGATAGGGTGGCAATGCCTCAGATGCTTAATCCTGTTGAGAGAAAGGGATTGAATATGCCAAAGGTTTCTGGGAACTGTCTTCTCTAGGCAGGTATTTCAACTATAATAACACAGTGTCTATTCAAATAAGGTGAGCTCTTTTTATATTTATTACTGTTTACAACAAAAACTGCATTGAATCAAACTGACCACTATTGAGAAAAAAGGGTAAATAGTCACTTGTATACACAATGGCAGGAATCAAGTTTTTTGGTTGTATCAGAATGGTATTGAGTCTTATATTTATTTGGGGAAATATTGCATTTATGTTGCAATCCACAAAATAAAAATCACTTTTACTGGTTATAATGGGTCCTGTGATGTAACCCGCCTCTCATCCAATATCTATCTAATCTTATCTAACTCTTTCCAACACAACAGAGTTTTTGAGCGTCAAAGTGCATAAAATTTGCCATAATTTTGAAAAAAGAACATTTGAAAAGTATTTGGGTCACAGTTTGTTCTTTAATTTGTGCTCATCAGTTGTTTCATGTCAGTAGCAAGCTTGTCACAGAATGTTCTTTCCTGTTCATATGTATGATTAAGTGCCAGTTAAGAAAAGTTTCTGCATTACAAAAGCTTTGACACTCACCACACCAAAGTGTCACTCCATGCGCTTGTTGCTTTGAAGAATTACTGGCAATCCAACTGGTTTTCCTGATGTCCCACATGATTGAAACAACAAAGGTTTTCCTGTACTTTTATTGCACAAACCTTTTATCCAATGCACAAACAATAGCAAATTTTATTATTATTTTTTTATCTTTTGTCTGCATGCTTCTACTCCAGACTGGGGAATATTTATGATGTGCCACGTACTCCTTTAACTAAGCGAGCCGCTTCCTGGTTCCAATTTACTTTCAGATGAAATGTACGCGTTAAATCCCAGGTAAACACACTAACGTCCTAAGTCGAGTTCAATTCTCAAACTTCAGATTTTAAGAGTATTACAAGTTATTTCACTAAATTTGTCATTTACTCACAGAATAATAATAATTTTCAATATTTAGAAATTATTTTTAAAAGCTGCGTTTACAAAACAGTTGTAAAAATAAATGTACTTTCTGATCAAGTTGATTTTACTAGAAATGAATGAGGCGCTGCTCTGCCAATTAAGATGCACTGATTTTGTTTAGGTTTAACGTAGCGAGTCTTGCTGTGAGGACAAAATAATCAGAGGAAATAGTTCAATTTGAATAAAGGAAAGTCCGTGTTATGCTGACATCTGATTCAAATGCCAATTTGTAATCTCCCCCCAAGTACATCTGAGTCAGAACATGTTACTTTACACTCTCCATGATTGAATTAAAAAGCTGAAAGAACATAAACCATTCATTAGCATTCATTAGTTACTTAATAGGCTCTGACTCATCATTCTTTATGCAACTTTAAATTAAATGTAACTTAAACGTCAGCTAGCTTAACGTAACAGTGATTTGTTTTGGTATAAAATTGAGTCTAAAGTGATTAAGTTTATGACTGAAGTTTAACACGTTTTCAAGTCACACAGTTAAAGTTCACTCCTCTGCTAAAAAGGCTTTCAAAAAAGTTACAATTTTTAACTATTTGCTTTTGCCACCACACTTGGAGACTGAGGTCCCGTCCAAACGGTAAAGTTTTTTTTTCTAAAGCTGGAACATTTTTAATCTTTTGTGCCTCGCATCTTTACAAAGATGGCGGCTTATGTGCCTTTTAATACACTAGTTCCTGAGTGGAAAGAGAAAATGCCTCTGTTGTGAATCATTAGCCCAACCAGTAACCTGGCTTATAACTCCAAACATGTCATAACATCAATGGTGGATCATATATTTGTGCTTGTGCTGCCTAACTCTTTAACCTCATTAAAGTTTTGGCAGCAGCTGCAAAAGGTTTTACAAGAGATTCCACTCATGCTTCGTTGTTTGCCATTCGTATGAAGTTAGTACGTACCACTAACTTCATATGGAGGCTTTCTGTGCATGTGTAGCGCCACTTTCAGGTCTGAGGGAGTAGAAATGCTGTTTTGGGACGCTTTGTGTATTTCTGTGTAGTTTAAAACATTTCTGAAAATGGTGCCATGTGTTCAACAACTCGTTTTGGAAAAATACATTGGTAGCACAAAGTTTAGAGGCATGCAATAAAGGGTGAACGTGACACAAGCACCTCAATGTTATCCTCAATAAGCAAGATAACCATTCAAAATGCCAAATTAACACAAATATTCTCCATAGACGCCAAAAAAAATTTCCCGCGAAAGGGGGAATTTTAGTCTCAAGATCTATATTCTTTAAAAATTTAAGGGACAATCCAGAACTAGCAATATCTGGAGCGAAGTAAAACTAAAGTGAAATTAAGTGTCACTGGCATCTCTTGATGCATTTTTTAAATAAAGCAGCAGGAACTGCCTCACCCAAATCTGTCAGCTGTTCTTTGGAACTGAGCCTTTTCATTTATGACTTTAACCGTAAGTTGCTTGAGCAGAGATTAACTGCTTCATCACCTGGTTTTAGTTTATATATTAATCATAAACTTTATAATCCAGTTTATGATCAATACTTTGCAAGCATCAGTGACTGTAATAAAATATACAAAGCCATTAATTAAAATGTTATTGAATATTGTTGCAAACACCATTCACAAAGTGAAATATTAGATTAATATTTGAAGCTTTTATTTCTCTTTATTGTGAGGATTTTTTTTTTCAGATTACAGCTAAAGAAAGCAGCATCACCTGACTAATGAAATAAGACAGAAATATTGGCCTAATAAGGAAGGTGTTCTTTTGTATAATATTTTTAACCTTTCTCCTTCTCACATCACTAAAGATTAAGACGGAGGTTGAACTTTAAAATCCACATTTGCTCTTTTTTTCCACTTCTGTTCATTGCTTTCTTCTAAATCCAAAGTGGATATGTCAGTGTTCAACTCCACAAATAATTACCTTACACAAGGATTAAGGTTGAAAAGTCTAGAATAAATTTGTTAATGTTTAAAGGCTCACTTCCTGAAATAGACTTGTATATTCTGAAATGTGATTTTTAAAGTTTATTTAACTTACCTACGGCTAAGAAGAAAGATATTATATAAAACAAATTAAACATTAAGGATAATATCTACTGTAAGATGATTTATGTCAGACTTTTTCATAGGTTTGTCCCACTAAGGCCAGAAGGCAGCTCTGAGCTCAGAAACAAAGCACACAATACAAACAAAGCATTAAGAACCTAATCGGAAAAAAAATGTGTCAAAGTTTGAAGAGACTCTTGACTCTGGATCTCAAAGGTCTCTTTAGTCATCACCTTTTGTGCAGAGTTGTCCTGTCGTGTTATTCAGCCAACACAAGCAGATAATAAAAGTCATGCTAGACGGCTATATGTATGCAATTGTATGAGTTGTCTGGGTGAAATTTGTCTGCTGGTCAAAAAATTCAATTTGCAACAAAAACAGACTGCACACAGATGATAATATAGATTTTTAATTTTGGTCAGAAAAGACTAAATGATGCCATTTTGTATAATAAAGTATTGAAGAAAACTACAACTTTGCCTGAATTAAATTTTAAAGTATGTAAAAATATAATTGTGCAATGCTGAGTTTCAATAAAGCATAAGTGGGGCAGTATAAAAGAAATGCTTTTGCACAAACTAAGTGTGTCTGACATGATCAAATTCTGTCTAGAAAAATTTTGCTGAATACGTTAGTGTATAGTTTGGTGATCAGTCACCATTCTTCTGACAAAAAAGGAAAAAAAAAAACACTCGGGCTGCTGTGGGTTTTTTTCCGCCTTATTCTTGAACCAGTTTTAATTTAATTTATTGCTTAATGAGAAACAATGAACTCTCACTTAACTTGCTCTCCAAAACTTTCCTTTTATATCTGTGACTTCCAGGCATCATCCTAAACAGTAGTACTATTTTATATCTGCACGGTTGAATACTAGTAAAAAATACAAGAGATTCAAAGGTTTGCTGCAGCCTAGTGGTTGAGGTTTGTATGAGAAAATTCGAAGCTTTTTATCCGATCTTCGTTTTAAATTCGTGAGCATGTCAGATAAAAATGAAATAGTAAAATTCGAAAAAAGTTTAAAGCTTTTGTATTTTTCTTTAAATTATTTTTTTATATATTTTAAATATATTGAGTATATGGAGCAAAATGTTGATGTAAAAACTTTTTTTTTTTTTTTTTTTTTACATTTTTTTGCTTCATCAAAAATATCTGTAGTATTTTCAGACATTTTCATAGACATTACAACCATTGCCAGCAGTATGTACTATAATAAGTATATACATTTATAAATGTCAGAGTTCCAAACTAAATATTTAATTCACAAATAATATTTGTGAATTAAATATTAGTTTAAAAGAAAATATATTTTCTTTTTAAACTATGTGTGTAGTTTTAAACTATGTGTGTAGTTTGAAAGCTAAACATTCAGTTTGAAAAGTAAATATTTAGCTCAAACTTAAACATTTAGTTTGGAACTATATATTAAATATTTAGTTTGAAACTCTGAGATTTGTAAATGTATGAATAACATGGTGAAAATATATAAAAAAAAAAACTAATGACTAAATAAACCCAGGTTTTGTTGTTATTTATTTTACTGTTTAACTTTACAAACGGCACCCTGTACAAAACAAACGTGATTTTTTGCTCATGACATTTGCCAGGTCTGTGTTTTCTCAGCGCGTGTGTCTGAGAAGTGCATGACGTCAACAGGTCAAATGGGCACAAGCTCGCAGGCCTCATGCTAAGCAGCTGAGGAATGCACAGGGATCAGCTGTTCCTCAGCCACATGACTCCCTTACTGCCCTCCTGAGGCTCATGTCTTCCAGCACATCTCCTGTGGGTGGAGCCATTTAATGGTTAAAAACAAGAAACTATGAGACGATTTACAAAGAAGTGTACAACTGTGGAGCCAACAGCTGGAGAGTAAGAAAATATTCTCTTTGGGATCGCTGGAGTGTCTGTCACTAGAGGCCTAATAACTTCCAATGGCTGCGAATACATAAAAACATGTCTCCCTTAATCTAAGTTATTTCACCATTTTTATTCTTTTTATGTAAAGCTGCAGTATGTAACTTCAATATATATATTAAAAAAAAATTAAAAAATTCCCTTCTCACCCTCCGTGGGTGGTCTCTTTCATCCTCTGAGCTCGGGTCCTCTACCAGAGGCCTGGGAGCTTGAGGGTCCTCCAGTATCTTGGCTGTGCCTAGAACTGCACATTTCTGGACTGAGATGTCTGATGTTGTTCCTGATATCTGTTGTAGCCACTGCTCCAGTTTGGGGGTGACTGCCCCGAGGTCCCCGATGACCACAGGCAC